TTTGTATAACTATATCACAGTCAATGAATCTATAAAGAGATTTACAAATGAATGACATCAGCAAGTACTTTCTACGAGACTCAAGTGTGTATCAGTTAAGTGACCTTAGACGCTGATTGTAGGGCATCTGTTGTCGGTACTGTTTTAGTATCAGACGAGTTGCTCTACGTTGGATGCTTTCTAATCTGTCACATAGATTACGATTGACAGGGAACCAGGCTGGTATACCATATTCAACAAGCGGAAGAACAAGTGATTTATACAGGCAAAGTAGGGCCGGTGATGAGAGACCCCCAGAAACGGAAGTGATGAGACCTAACATGAATCCCACTTCAGGTTACTGGTTATGATTATTCCAAGATATTTCGTTTTCTGGACAATTTCAATTGGCTGATCGTTCAAGAAGTAAGCAGGCGGGTCAACCTTTTTGCGCGCTGCAGATATTCTCATCACTTTCGTTTTGGAGACATTTAGAGACATACGGTTAGATAAGCACCAATTGGAGATTTTAGTGAGATCATTTTGCAAGGTAATTGAATCAACAATTGATCTTATTGGCCTAAATATGATAGTGTCGTCGGCGAACAACGCACTAGGAGAGTCAACTAAAGATGTCAAGTCGTTTATAAACATATTAAACAAAAGCGGTCCAATCACACTCCCTTGGGGGACACCAGATGGCACTCTAGCCCATTCAGAGGCAGCACCTCTATAGATGACTCGTTGGCGGCGACTGCATAGTAGTGACTTTATCCAATGCCAGAGATTACCACTGATGTTGAACTGAATGGCTAACTTCTGCAACAACACATCATGAGGCAGTTTATCGAAGGCTCGTGAAAAGTCCAAATACAGTACATCGACCGGGCAAGATTTAGGACCTTCTAAATACTTCAGCCACTCATGTGTGAGACGTATTACTTGGGTGACACACGACTTTCCTTTCCTAAAACCGTGTTGGAAGGTGGAGATTGGACATGAAGAATCCAGATGAGAATCTATTTTATCAACTATCAGCGATTCCATGATTTTACTCCCAACGGAAGTAAGGGCCACTGGACGATAGTTGAACGGAGATGACTTATCACCAGATTTAAATACGGGAGTAACATTGGCAGATTTCCTCACAGTTGGGACTTTACCAAGAGCTAGTGATACCGAAAAGATACGCTGGAGGATGGGAGCTGACACAACGGCAGTATGTTTCAGCAAGGATGGAGAGAGACTATCTGGACCAGGGACTTTCTTTTCCCGGAGAGAAAGTAATTGGCGGTAAACATCACTTACACAGATATCAAAATTCTGTAGCTGGTTTATTGGGAATTCACACTTCTCAGGTTGACATGGAACTCCCTGGGGATCGGTAAAGGAGGTTTGGAAAGCAGTAAGAAATTCAGATGCTATGTCTTGTGGTTTGTTAAGGATGCGACTCCCGCTTGCGATAGTAGCAGGCGGTGAGTGGCGCTTATGCTCTCGAATGTAGGCAAAAAACCTCTTCCTATTATCACAACAAAGAAACAAGGCATTGACATACTGCCAGTAAGCAGCCCTGATTTCGTATTTCACAAGGTTCCGAGCTTCTTTGAAGAGGCTCCAGTCGGCAACTAAGTTGGACCGTTGAGCTCTAACAAAGAGCTTACGTTTCTTGCAAATCATATGCTTTATCTCTTTAGAGATCCATGGCTTATACTTCCTTGTCCTCATCCGAGATCGCGGAATAGCATCTTTAGAGGCAGCCTCAAAGATGTCTAAGAATCCTTCCCATGTAGAGTTTATGTCTTCAGGATCGATGAAAAGGTTCCATGGCACAAGCTGCAACAGGCGATTCATATGGTCAAAGTCCGCTTTGGGAATGTTGAGGAACTCACGAAGAACTGCCTTGGAAGCGAAGGGTTTAGGGGAAATGATCTTAAATACAATGCCGTGATGGTCACTTGGAACTGGGTTGGGACAGACAGATGCCTCAACGAAAAGGTCAATACGATTGGTGAACACATGGTCGATCAGGGTACCAGATGAAGGGTCGTCCTTGGAAGGACGGGTTACAGTAGTAACAAGCTGAGTCAGTTCCATAGTGTCGCATATAGAAAAAAGACGCGATGAATCGCTTGATGAATAATCTAACAGGTCAACATTCAGATCTCCGGTAAGGATAACACCATCAAAATCAATTGAGGTCCTCTGAATGTTGTCAATGTGGGCTTGAAGCAAGTTCCAGTACTGCGCATTGGAGTTTGGCGGACGATATAGAGACAATAGAAGCCATTTTCTCTTGCGGAGAAGAAACTCAATGCTTATCAACTCCAGATCAGGATGTTCCAAGTTTTCTAATCTCCTAGGGCAAAGGCTAGCGTCGATGGCAGTCAATACTCCACCACCAGGCTTGGTCATTCTATCCTTGCGAAATAATACGTAATTAGATGGAAACCCGAGTTCGACATCCTCACATGCAGCGTTCAGCCAGCTTTCAAGAATGCAAATGATTTCAGTATGATCAGTAGCCAAGTGGGCGAGTAAGTTTGGCATTTTATGTCGGATAGAACGTGCATTGAATACAAGTCCAGTCAAGTGACCCTTTGGTTGATCATGAGAATGATCGACATGTGCAATAGTAGGGTTTCGATTGGTAGAAGGTCCAGGATTTGTAGCTATATCTCCGGATTGAAGAAGCAACTGGAATGTTGCAGTTTTAGCATTATGTAATGTCAATACTTTGAGAGGACATGAGTATTTCTTCGATAAATTGACGTTACCGTATCCGCCCCTATAGTTCTCTGTACCTCTCTTTCTTGCGTAAAGAAAATATGAATATAGAATTTGTCTTGATTTCGAAAGAGTCCCTCCCTCACGAACAAGTTCATGCTGATATTCAGGGTTTCACCGTTGCGGGCGGAACCATCCCATCCCATATTTATCTCATCTCAACGCCCAGATCTCGTCGTTATTTGAGAATGAATAGGGACTTTTAGATTCGCACGAAGACATTAGGTCTATGCTACGATCGACGTCCTTTTAAAGCACTGCCGTGAATGGAAGTACCACGTATCAGTCCACGCAAATCTAAAAGTCCCTAATGAATGAAACAAATGCTAATGATCGAACTAACAGTGCCCTTTGAGACAAACACCAATGCTGCTCACACGAGAAAGCTCGACCGGTACAAAGAACTTGTGGCCGAAGTAAGAAACAATGGTTACAGTGTGACATAACATCAGGCGCGTACGCAGAGGGGGGGGGGGGGGTAAAATCTCGTACCACCCCCCCCCCCCCCGTCTTTTTTAGCGGCTGGCTGAGTCGTTGAGATTTTTTTGAGACCCCTACCCCCCCCCCCCACCCCCCCTCCCCCCAAAAAAGTATCCTCTTACCCTCCCCACCCTACCCCTCCCCGCTTATTCAGCGACTAGCTGGGTCGTTGCGAAATTTTCGGCCCGATTTCAAAATGTTAACCCCCCCCCCCCCTTGAAAAAATCCTGCGTACGCCACTGCATACCATGCTATTGAGATATGAGTAAGGGGGCAAATAACTAGAGACAACATAATACGGCTAAAGTGGGTATTCAGGAAATGTTCAGTCCTTCTTCGCCTGAATAGTTTCTTTCAGAACATAAGTAGGTACGCAGTTGTGTCATCCTTTGTCATATTCAATGCAAGAAAAGAATCACAGTGGAAGGATGTGGAATACCTCGGCCTCTAATTAACACTCCATTCTCTTCAACGCTTCTTCTCTCTCTTTTTTCTCTTCCTCTTCTTCTTTGCCTTATTTCGTCTTCTTCTTCTTTTTCTTTTTCTTCGTCCTCTTCTTCTTCTGCCTCTCTCTCTCTCTCATTCTTCCCAAACTTTTCTTCCTCGCCTACCTCCGCCTCCTTTACTCCATCTGCTTGCCTTTTCTCCCCTCTTCTCTCTTTACCCCCCCCCTACTTTCTCCTTTTCCTCCACTCCGTCTATTCCAAGTGGAATGACTTGTTTTCACTCGTTTACACTTTATCTCCAACCTATAATGTACCCTCTACTTTCTCATTTCTTTCACATTTTTTTTCTTACATCGTTTCCTACTCCCAGCCTTTACCCACATGCTCAGAAAATCATATTCCCCTTATTTTTTTATTTTTTTTTAATTGAATTTTTGTTGCCAACCTAAGCATGATTGATGCAGGCACGATTAATGATTGTTAATATACATGATCGATATATGAATGAATGTATATTGATCAATGATTAATGCATAATTTTAACTATACATGATTAATATATAATTGTTATTATGCATGATTGATATATATTTGTAACTGTAATGCATTATTGTTTCTATATGTTTTATATGTAGTGCGATCTGCCTTGGTTTCGGAAAGGGAACATGGACCTGGTATTGAATGTAAACATGTATTCCTTTTTATATGGAATAAAGGCATGATGTAACAACATTAAACATTTTATAAATATTTAACAAAGAGAAAGTAATGATGAAATTAACGAAAACGAACATTTAAGTTATCTAGTAAATATTCATTCGTGAACAATCCGAATGCAGGTATATGAAATATAAAATAATTAATTATAAAGCGATTATAAATCAATTCTTTGACGATTGATCGATTCGTTCAAACTGACATGACTGTGATGAGTGGTGACTTGTCGGTACGAACGACAGGCTTCGATGATTAAAAGTTTGAATACAAAATAATCGAAGCAATTGTTATGAGGTCATATTTTTTGGATTTTTGAAAAGTTTTATCCACCAACATAATGTTGAACACAATATTCAATTTCACATGCGGTAACTTGTCGGTAACGAACAATGACAATGCTTGAAAGTTTTAATTCAAAATAATCAAACAATATGTTCTGAGGTCTGATTTTTGGAAAGTTTTATCCACCAGCATAGTGTTGAAAACAAAATCCAATTTTACATGCGGTGACTTGTCGGTTACGAGAAGATAGTAATGGCAGGCTCCGAAATTCTATAAAACCAGAAGCTCTCTAGACTTTAATTCAACATATATCTTGATAGAGACACCTCGTTACATCGAGCTACGAGAAAGAATATCATCATCTTACATAATTCTACTCGAACACCGCATCGAAATCAGGTAGGCCCAACATCCCTTACGTTATGCCTGTTGCACATGAGACGTCTTTCTGATTCCGTCAGTTCTTAATTGTATTGATAATGATATCGATTATTTAGTAGCGCTAAAACAAAAAGTACCTTATCCCTTACTATGTAACAGAATGTTAAGAGAAACATAAGACTCAGAAATAGGTAAATCATGCTTTATTTCTGAGGGAAGAGGAATGTTTAATGGATCTTTTGAAAGTGGCAAGACAGGTTAAAATTATATTCTTTCGAAGCAGCAACTGTAAAACGTTTTTTTCGGTAGTTGAGAGTCTGGATTTGGGAATAATTGATGTATATTCAGTTGTTGAGCGTTGGTCTGCATTTCTTCAGACATTTCTTCGCCTCTTGTGCAGAGGGCTTTTAGTGCACTTTAATCAGGAGCTTTGCTTTGGCAACTCTGATGGGTGAGATGGCCCAGTGATAATAATAATAATAATAATAATAATAATAATAATAATAGCCTAATAGTCCACTCCAAATTTTATTAAACCGAAACGGAAATTCTTTTTGCCCAATTGATCGTGAGCCCGGCAGCCACTGAGCAGCGCCAGATCGACGTTGCTCTATCCCTTATTGTTGAACGCCAAACAAGGTAGCAACAACTCCCATCTTTTAACGTCTTTTGGTATGACGCGGCCAGGGTTCGAACCCACGACCACCCGGTTGTGAGGCGGACGATCTCGTAAACGTGAAGGCTCGGGTTCGTAACACTAACGGGTGCTAGGTGTCCCTTGGTAAGGCATTAATCTCCGTTACAACTTTTAAAGTCTTTTAGTACAGGGCAAATGGGTGATAACCTCACAACAATTATGTCACAGAGTTGCCAATTTGAACGATGATTGATTGATCGCATCTTCAAAAACTCATACATTTTTTTTTCTTTTTACCTCTTTAGAGGGACTTTATTGTTCCATTTCAAAATACATATATATTATTTACAAAACAAGTAAAATGAAACATGAATTATATACAAGGTCAACATAATATCTTAAAATGATCATTTTAACATTTCTAATACTTTCTTAACTACCTCAATATCGAAGTATTTTATATTTTCTTTGTATTTCAAATAACATTTTAATGATGAAATAAAATTATTTATTAACCTCTTTGGATTGGTTGGTACTTCTCCAAAGTTCCGCTTTACGTAGTCTTTGTATATAACTAGTTGAGCATAATTTATCCAAAAATTAAGTAAAGTATATTTTCTGTTATCTATTTTATATCCAATCAATAACATTTTCATATCAATTTCAATTTCTATTTTAAAAATGAAATATATAATTCTTGAGATAATTTTCCAGAAAACTCTTAATTTCTTGCAACGAAATATAAAATGTTCAATAGTTTCTTTTTCACGACAAATTTCACATTCGTTAGACTGTACGATTTCCAGTATAAAGAGATTGTCTTTAGATGGCAATATTCTATGAATTAATTTAAAATTATATTGTTTGATCTTATTGTCTCTTATGTTATTAAATTTGAACTGAAATACATCTTTTCAAACAAATGTTTCTGGTAGGCCTAAAATATTTTGCCAAAAATGGAAACCAATTTTCTCTTTTTTCTTTTCTAGCATTAAATTATAATAACTTTTTGCCGTAGTAAATTCAACGTTTATAACATCTCATTCTTCCGTTTTCATATTTGTTTTAAACTCGATATCAGGGTGGACTTCCCCTTTTAGCAAATTGGGTAAAATGTTAAAAATAGGAGGTTAAAAAACCCATACATGTTTGTTGGGAATACTTTATACCAACACTAGGTAATTTTTACCCAATTTCGGGTACATTTTACCAAACAAACATGCTCAGATTATAATGGCTCATATCAATTAAAAATTTGGGGAGGTAAGTTTAAAGATAATCTTGAGTTCTGGTAAATATAGAGATTAAATTCTCACAGAATCCAACGAAACTTACACAGAATTTTCAAGATTACAAATAAATGACAATGGCACAATAATTTTGGTAGAAATTGTATAGTGGCTGAGAAATGAGCATATGAAGATCAGGAAATATGCTGCAGGATCAACAATCTAGAATAAATCGTAGCGAATGTCTTTCAAAATACGATTCCCATACCAGAGCTCACTGAGATTAGCTTTACGTAAGTATGAGTAATGTTAGAAGGTAGACTACCTTCTAACATTACTCATTACTGCTTGACATACTAAGTATGTTAAGCACTGTTGTCAGATCATTTATCAAATTCAATTTCTTAATATTTTCTTTGTCACGATAGCATTTTAAAGACATTACATTCGCCTTCTTCTATTCTTTGAAAACGAGACTGTGCGTTGAATCTTTATCATCGTCAAAGCCGTTATTAAAGTGCATGCAATGAGAGCAGTGCAGAAGTGGGCCGGGAAGCGACTTTGCGTTTTACACCCTGGCCTGGACCTTTTCCCAATAAATTTCAAGGAACCGACTGGGAAAAGTCTATCCATGACAAGATATTGCGCGCGCACGTAGCTCTTCTGCAATGCTCAACGTACGTCCTATTATGTCCAGTGTCGCGGTACGCGGTACATGTACTTTTGTATCGAGACGTACGAGTGAGAGAAAAACAACGAATAACAACAGAAGGAAATAGAGAAAAACAATAAATAATTAAAGAACAGAGAGGAAACAAAGAATGTCATAAGCAGAGAGAGAAAACAAAAACTAACTTGAAAGAAAGAGAGAAATTAGAGAAGGAATTAATCAAAGTAAGGAAAGAGAGAAACCAAATAATATTATGGTTTTTGTGGTTTAATTCCGCCTTCTTCAGGGTTTCAATTTTTGACGTGTAGCCTACTTTCAAACCATTTGCTGATTCGGACCCCCCCCCCAACACACGTGTACACATATCGACACATACACAGACTACACTCGACATAATATGTGTAATGGTAATGTAATACATAAACTGTGATTTAAATATTGCACTCGTACCATTTTCTATTATTGTGGGATCACGTCTTTCATTTTTTAAATTCATGTCATTTGTTTCTAAGACCTAATTTCTCTAATTCTCTTGACCCCTCTCCCTTCATATTTGTTTTCTAAGACCTCCCCCCCCCCCTCATCTCTCTTCATATTTGTTTTCTAAGACCCATTTCTCCCCCCCCCCCCCCCCCCCCATCTCTATTCATATTTGTTTTCTAAGACCTCTCTCTCTCGACCCACTCTCTCTCTCGTATGTATTTCTCAGACCCCTCTTTCTTTCTCTCTCATTAACCCCCTCTTCATATTTGTTTCTAAGGCCTCTCTCTCTCTCTTCATATTTGTTTCTAAGACCCCCCCCCCCTCTCTTTCTCGTTTCTTGATATTTGTTTCTAAGACCTCTCTCTCTCTAGCTCTCAATTCATGATATTTGTTTCTAAGACCCCCTCTCTTTCTCACTTCTTGAATTCATATTTGTTTCTAAGACCTCTGTCTCTCTCTCCCTTTCTCTCTTTCTCATTTTAAATTCATGATATTTGTTTATAAGACCTCTCTTTCTCTCTTTTTCCATTCATCACTTTGTCTAGTGTAATGTACAGACACGTAACATATAAAGGAAATTATACACCAGTTTTACATGAATTCATTTGCACTTTATTTACTGCTTTACATTCATATACTTTTTTTTTTTCGTGAAGGTAATCTAATCCTTCAATGTCAGAGAAGTAATACAAAAGATACAGGAGTATGTGTATGCATAAATAGTTATATAAAGAAGAAATATGTAGTAAAAGTGAAAGCAAACAATAGTAGAAATTTGAACAGATAATTTGACAGTGTGTTAAGATTTAGATGCAAGAAATGACTATAAGAAATTTTTATTTGAAAATACATGCACATGTAGATAAAAAGAGATCTGAACATAGGCGGATTCATGGGCGCAGAGGCGTGCACCGCACTTTACTTTGGAGATAACGAACTGAATACACATAATAATGGATGATACGTGAAAATATTTTTCTTCAGCGAGTAACAATATTTCACGTATTTCGCGAAAATTGATCATCCAATATTATAATTATTATTTAGATACTCCACAGAGATATTGTGATTTATTCACCATTTTTATAATATACTAGTACATGTACTTGTAAACTGCATCTTGGCAATTGAAGCTTGAAACGAGTGCAAATATGAAATTTCCCAAGCATTTATGTGGTGCTGGTGCACAACTAACATGAAAAGTTAAAAATGTTTGAATTTCAAGAAAACAGTAGGCCTACCGTAACACTAATATAATCATTTACCTGTACTAAGTCGAACATCTAGAATTTACATATCCCAATCCAAGTTGTTACTTGAAGTTATTGTGACGTTAAAATTATTGAAAACGAAGTAGTTACTTGGATGGTGCAATTTCATATGGTGACGTCACGTTTAATAGCTGCATGCGCACAATCACTAATAATTAATCTTCAGTATTGCAGCTGCGTACGGTGTGTATAAATGCTGCATCGACGTACGTCTGTGCCATCGAAATCCAAGTAAGGTTCGTTGGTCTGTGCATGTACGATTCGATTTGGAACTGGCGCGCCCGATCGAGGAGCGTAGACTAGACTCATTCAAGCAGTTTCATTGCTATTTACCGGGAAAATGTCCAGGCCAGGGTGTAAAACGCAAAGTCGCGGCCGGGAACATCATCTTTCAACAGGGCATTACAAACATTCTCAGTTGATGGTTCCTGAAAGCGAAAACTATGATTGAATGTGGATATTCTGAAGCCTTCCTCCTGGCATTCATCACAGTAAACCACAATTCAAGTATTTTCTGGCAGCCTGTCGTCTCGAAGCCCATTATTGTTCCTTCACTTTCTGTTATAACTTTATATTGTCCGATTTCTGTTCATTCTGTAAAAGGAAAGTTTCAGTACGTCACGATTCTATGCTGACATTCTTAATTGCATTGCAATGTCACCGTATCTTTGACCAAATGATCAAAATGTATTTCCATGTTGATTCTATTTTCCTTAGACTTTAAAAATGGCGTCAAAAACCATGATTTCTCTCTACTGTCTGATTGCATTGGCCGTGGTAGCAAGTGTTTTAGTCGAGGAAGATGAGATCGACAATTCCAATGCGTTGAGTGTTGAGGAGCAACAAGACAGTAAGCAATTTATTTATAATGTTATCAAACAACTAAAACGAATACGATTACAAAACAACCAACCTATAAAAGGCATTCTAATAGCTGTATGATTGTGCGGTCACCTATTGAAATGTGCCAACATGGCAATGATGTTTTGACGTAATCCGACCAGATTTGTAGAAAGTTTGCACTTTCAAAAAGATACTTTTTATCACTTCTTATCCTGGCCGATGATATATCGTGATAACTTTACCAACCAAATTTTGTTTGATTTGATTTGATTTATTGATTTACTATTGTTTCGATTATTTGTTTGTCTTTTATTTTCGTATTGCAGTAATAGAATATTGTAAGCAGCTAAGACGGTTAGGCAAAGTCACACCTCCCTGGTTAGGCGGTCATGGTAGTGTCGTCGAAGAAATATCTACAATGATTGTGCGTTGCTAACGGTACGAGCTTGTATTTAACAATATTTCCAAATCTAAATAAAAATGCATGAGAAATAGTATGCTCATTCTATAAATAATAATAATCCACCTCTATTTTTTTCTTATCGACACCTCTATCACATAGTCATGAAAATGAGAAAAATCAAGGAAGACAAACTTTAAAAATCGGCTGGATAATATTTCTTTCGATGTAATCTATACCACCTCCGTTACCAGCCTCAAAATGATCAATGCCATTTTTAACGTAATTATTAAGTTAATAATATCAATACTTTTAACGCTGATATATGACTCGTGGATGTGCAGTACAGGCATAAATAATTTTATTGGCAATATATTTACGATAGTCATGAATACCGGCATTGTATTTTTTGTGTTGTTTTAAAGACTAAGAAATGAAGAAGAACTCGACAAGCATGACACAGTGAGGCTTTTAAGTGCGCATAATTTCGGTCAAAAAGACTTTGCATATAACATTTCTAAAAGATAACATTATGAAGGGCATGTTTATTTCCTTCAAGTCAGGCTCGAACAACCATCGTTGTCATTTGATTGATGAGTTAACAATACGATGATTAAATGACTAAGCACGACATGGTAACTTGCTCTGCTTTAGGATTGCCTTTTCGTATATAGGGCACGGAGTCATTTCTAATAACCTAACATTAATTAAAATTGAGAGAATTATCCAATTTATATTCTTCCCATATGTATCTTCATACTTTTTAAAGGGTTGGGTAACATTTTACTCATAAGAGGAAAAGAAAGAAACAATGCATGTTTGTTGGGTAAGAGTTTACCAATGCTGGGCAATGTTTAACGAAGGTTGAGTAGATTTCATCCAACAAACATGTATCTTCCCATTTTGACCTCTTATGTTAAAAGTTGTACCCAACTCTACCCTGCTTTAAAGGTATTACAAAGTTTTGGGAAATTTTGAAAAATGGGTGGATAGTGATTCTTTACAATTTTAATATATTTGGATGCCCCTGTGGATGTATTAAAAACACCAGAAATTTTAGCCCCTAAAACACTTCTGCTTTCGAGAAAAATTGAATATAAAGATTTACCGGTGCTCCCGGTAAATTTTGATAAATTTCAAATAGCTCCAACGGCCGTACAATGGTAGCTGCGACCATGAAAATCTCAGAGTATGTAGTTGTGGTATATAATTTCCGAACAAGAATAGCTAATCAGTCAATTTTAGTCAATAAACATTATTTCATAGCTTAATTAATATCTTGACCTTGAGAGGGAGCTATTCAACATAAAGTGTTTATTATTTACAATTTCATAATTTTAGAGTCGATTTCGACCGCGACGATTACTGAATATTGTAGGATCGTATATGCTTCCAATATGTTCATTTGAACCAAATTCATGACCCCTTACCAAAACTTTGTATTACCTTTAAGAGTGCACATTATACACCTCTTCATTATCCCGCTAGCAGAATCACACCCTATATCATATAACACTACTGTTTCGGAAATGCAATCGGTGCATGCACATTGTAAGGATACAGCATATAAATATCTATATATTTAATAAATCTTTATATTTTCCCTTTTCTTGTTTTCAACTGTAGGGTAATAAACGCATCGAGAAGTTCGAGAGGCATACTAACTGCATCTTTTCCATTTGCCTGGCGTCAGACGTCTTCTCTGTCTGTTGAGAGTTTTGTCAAATTGATACAAGAAAAAAAATAATCCTCGATGATCAGTTATCACTGACCTTAATCCTAACCCCAACGAACTCATAACCTCACCTCTAAAATATTTTTAAAAAATCAATAAATATAATATATAATCCATTTTGAATCTCGTTTCAAAAGTAAAGTATCAATAATGCCTACATGTAGCCCGAAATAGTTTTGTGTTGACAACTGTAAAGGTTAGTCAATTCACTGGAAATTTGATTGTTTTTAATAATGCATTGAAGAGTACAATCTTGTACATGTGCTTCATTATTATGTACAGAAACAAGTGCCTGCCGTTCGTACCGTCAAGTAACCACTCACCACATAAATATTAATAGAAATCAATGATCTAAACAATATGTTCCAATTGTAAATTTTCAAATTTTTAATCAGCTGCTATATTCTTTGACACATTGTGCACAAAACGGTCTTATTAAATGGAATGACGTAATAATTCCTTCTCGGGTAATTTACTTTTGTTCATGTCGTGAGAGGGGTAACTATGGACAATAGAGAGAGAGAGAGAGAGAGAGATGGGGGAGAGAGAGAGAGAGAGATGGGGAGAGAGAGAGTGAGAGAGAGAGATGGGAAGAGAAAGACAGGGAGCAGGCATATCAGAAAGGTAGAGAGAGAGAGAGAAAGATAAAGAGAGAGATGGGAAGAAATAGACAGGGAGCAAGCATATCAGAGAGGTAGAGAGAGAGATGGGAAGAGATAGACAGGGAGCAGGCATATCAGAGAGGTAGAGAGAGAGAGAGAGAGAAAGAGAGAGAAGTGGGAAAAGATTGATAGGGAGCAGGCATATCAGAGAGGTAGAGAGAGAGATAGAGAGAGAGAAAGAGAGAGATGACAAATCTGTTTACTGTTAACAGCCTTAAACAAAGACTAGTGGTAAACATGGCTGCAGTGGTAGATGGTTTTGATCTTCTTTTCCGACAACTTTCGAACGGTTTTCATATCTACTTTGAGGTCTTGTCATTGATCGGAGCTTACTATGTGACAAGTTATTGTCACCTGTTACAGGGTGCAGTATGTTATCCGGATGCATATTTATCCTAAACTGAGACCAAAACGAGATCTTGTCAAAGAAATCGGAGAGTGGGCAGGTAAAAACATCTCAGTCCCATACCTTCATTTGTATGTGAGAAATATGTTGTCTCTTAGACTAAGTTAGTACGCACTACGTGTACGGACTACGTCATGCCTGCCCACACATAGCTGCATTACTAGCACAGAAAAAAAAAATCATTTCGGGGGCTACTTTTCAAGCTTGTTTGCATGAAAATGACACTTTTTCATTTGTTTTGCATTGAACTGTAGACTCTAGTCTAGATCTACATGTAGGGTCTATGCAAATTTTAGGGGGCTCTTATAGGCACATTCATGGGGCACTAGAGGGCGCTTCGCTCGCGTACGAAAATCTGAATGGCCTTGCTGCGGTGGGTTGGTAATAATCAGCCCAAAACTTGGATATGGGAGGGTGGAAGGATATATCTTTTTTATAATGTTATCCGGTCTTACCCCTAACCATCCTAGACCTGTGTTTAATCTTAGTAGAAATGACATGCGAGTACAAGAAGAGAAACATTGGGCCTATTACTGATGCAACTTTTGAAATATTAGCCTAGAAATTACCACCAAACTGAAAAAAATTACATTTTTTCTGACAAATCTTCATAAAATCTGAGTTATAAACAACTCACAACTAGGTACGGTAATACAAATACGATTTTCCGAAAATTCAGGTGTGATTTTTTAAGTTTCTTTCAAGTTTCAAGTATATTTCTGCGCATCGCAGCGCCAATTTTCTTCACTGCTTCAAAATCACCCTTGAAATTTTTTTTTGCAACGAATTTGATACGAGGTCCGCGAGTGTTCCCGGCCCGTTCCTTGCGTGTTGAAAGTTTGGTAATACATAGTTTGCATTGACTCGCGCATGAAAAAATGGCTCGAAAACAAATGTCAAATGAAGAAATAAACAAGCTTTTGTATAGTTATAAGAGATCTACCGAGGTTTCTTTGTCGATTTAATTTATTATATAGTCTCAATTAGAATTTAGAATTATCTCACTGAAAAGTTAATAAACCGACAATGTTCTCGATCGTAGTTATTTTCACTTTGCCAGCAGACGATCTAGCGTTGTTTTGGCAAAAAGCTAGCCCGCCACCTTCCCACCTCGAACCTTTCGATTTTCGCTACAAAGTGCGCGCTGCGGAGCTCCGAAGGTGCATTGGTATCGCTGGCAAACTCTCAGCCGGCTAGCTCCCCACGAGGGACCATTCGCGGTATGGCGAGAGTGTGTGTGTGAGATATACGATTTTGGATTCGAGAACGCACGTAGTGCAACCGTGCGCGTCATTTTCTGCTGTCGAATGTCTACGACCAATTTTACATGTAAGATGTTTAGTACAGATAGTTGGTCAGTTTTCTTCTTATATCTTTGGTTTTACAACATTTAAAAATATAATTTCTTCAAATTTGCTCCTGACTCGGTTCAGACTAATTGTCTGATGTGTTTTCAAGTCAATTTTTGAATATATTTTTTTGCATGAATTTTAAAGGTACTATGTCCCTTTTGCAGCCAACCTCAAATTCTGTAGAACTTTGCAGGAATTATGAATATGTCATGTATGTCCTATCTGTGAAATTTAAACGTTAGCAGTGTCCTCATATTCAAATTATGCAAGGAAACCCGTTTACTTGCTAGAATTCACTGTCAGACACTATTGAGTGACTGACTGGCCTTTTTTCTTCTTTAGACTTTGGTAATAAAATACATTAAAAGAGTTGTAAAGGGTACATGAGCATTTGTCTACATCAATAACCCACTTCTTATGATGGCCAACATTAAACTGATTGAATCTTTGCGCAGCATAAAACGTATGACAATTCGGTACAATTGTCTGAAAATCAAGACTATTAGTACTTTTGGGCTCTATAGCCCTTAAGTCGATTTGACAACTGATAGTCGTTATTTTCCCACTTGAAGACATTTTCAAGCCCCACCTTTTTTAGGTTTTTTTTTCTTTTCAAATGCAGTTGCAATTTAACTTTTTCATTTTTTTGGCCTGCAAATGGGATATAGTATTGTTTTGCTGCACTGTTTCACAAGAGCCGTGTAAAGTGCCATTCTGTACCCTGATCCCGCCTACAGCATTTGAAAAAAGGTATCTAGGGTGATTGGATAACCTGTGAATTTGCTTTTGGTGAAATTTCAGCAAAATCTATCGATGAGGGGATGAGGAATGTGAAAAT